GCTTGGGGAGTTTCTAAAAAGCGTGAAAGTCGATTATTGTGGTGCTGAAGCTTAGGGATTTAAGAGCACGCGTTTTGTGTGGGCAGCAGTTGATGGCTTGGTTTTTTCCTTCTGTGAGGGAAACAACAGTATCTTGCAAAAATAGGAGTGGCGGCTGCTGCTCTCTTTGCCGGTGTTCTACTTGAAGCGTACCTCTTGATTTAACTAAAATCTTGAAAGTAACCAAACACAGCATATGCATAGCATATACAAGAGTTTGACTGACTTCTTCCTATGCTGGGTGGGCAATAAGATCACGGAGTGCATTTAGAAACATCATTTATGTGGTTAAAGTTTCATTGAACCAAGATACGTCAATGGTGTAAACGTTTCTGAAGAAATAAATGTGCAAATCATGATGTGGAATAGCTAGATGAGCTTTAAAATTGCGTGTATGCCTAAGTCTGTGTATGACCTGTATAAACAATGTTTATAAACTGTGTTCAGGCATATATAACCTACGTTTGCATCTTTTGGACAGAGATTAGTTTGTTTTGAATACTTCAAAACCAAAAGAGTTGAAGAGCCCTGAAATGTTCTTGCTTCTGAAAAAAAGTATGTGACTATCAGAAGGTTCTTATGAATTTTAGAAAAATAACTTACTGCTCACAAAGTTGGTAATTTCTATTTTAAATTTTTTTGCAGCCCTCAATCTTCAGCAGTATCTTTTACACACATCTTTTACATTGTATACTTATTTTCTCATGGTAAGAATAGACTGGCCATACCTTTTAGTTTAATAAATAGTTGTTCAGGTTTGGAGGTTTTTTTTGCTTTAAAGTCACAGTTCTGAGAAGATGTCTCGGATTTTAGGGTTTAATACACACTTTTTAAGGCTTATACATGGTATCTGTGATGCTTCAAAGTGTTTATACAAAGATTACAGAATTGAAGATCTCTCTATCTCTTTGTGTCACATTTGAATGCAATGGTATGTGACAGAATTTGTTAGCTTTTTGATTTGTCAATCTAGTATTTTTCAGTGAAAAATTAGCTTGCTTCTCAAATAAATTCTCTGTATTCTTTGCTGTGTGGAAGTCCATTCCTGCCTAACAATTTACACAATTGTATTGAGACATTTGTGAAAAATTATTTCAGTGTCCTGTGGGAACAACTAGAAAAGAATCTGATAATGATTTCTTTCTCTCTTGACTTTTGGTTCAAAAACAGGGATGTTGTGGAAACACAAGAACATTACAAGAGCAGGTGGAGATCCATCTGGATTATGTATCTTACTATGTTTCTTAGTAGTGTAGGTGAGTAAACACAGGTGGATTTCAGTGTTATTTGCTTAATGAATACATTTTTGTTTGAAAATTACAGGGTTTTCTACATCTCAACATACCTCCTTTAATGCTACTGTTCTTTTATAACCTTAGAAAGGTGCGCTTTCCAATTCTTCAAAAGAGAAGATAGGACTAGCAAATCAGAGAGTTACATTTAATAAGATAAGTTAAATAATACTCTATTTTGAGACTAAATGACATATTAAATTTTTGTTTTATGGCTTTGTAATAGTTCAGGGTAAAAGGTAGTGTCAGAGCAAGGTTATTGCTCAGAACCAAACAAAACAGGGGTCACACTTTTATCATTCAAAGTGAAACTTCTAGGGAATGAAAACAGAAGTAATGCTGACTTCTTAAAAGGTAAGATCTTTGTGGGAATGTATGTTCAAAATGTGTATGAGAACTTGTTTTCTCCTATGGGATTTTGCCTCTCTGCTGCAGAACAAATTACCGTTTCATTCCTAAATAACTGCCCCAGTAATGAGAATTCTGGTGATTTTTTACTTCTGCTGATTTTTTCCTGGACGTAGAAATGATCTTGAAAAACATATTTTTTCAAAAATATCACTTTTTTTCAAAAGTGATTTTTTTTTAATTTGATGACTTAGAATTTCTTTGATAAATGGATACAAGTATGTCAGTATATCAAAAAATTCTTAATACTCTGGGGACCTTGGTGGAAGGAAAAACCCCATGCAGTTTGCTTGACAAATCAGTATTTTTTTCATAAGAGGTTTTTTTGTTTAGCGTGTATGCACCTATAAAATGTCCTTTTAAAAATAGTTCCTCCTTTTAGGAGGAATTATCACTCCTTAAATGAGTATGTAATATGTAATTTTTTGAGGTGACAGACTGATGCACAGTTTTAGACTATAATACACTTAGGAGCAGAAGAATGAACCTTTAATAACTGTTTCAGTAAAGTGAATTACTGATAAACATGGCAAATAAAGTAACTTCTGTTATGTTTTTACTGCATTGCAGGTTTCTCAATTGTAATTATGTCTGTGTGGCCATATCTCCAAAAGGTTTGTAAATGTGTTTTTTTAAATGAATAAGGACAGAAAACTCCTGCTCAGAAAGTATGTAATACAAAACTTGGCATTTTATTTAGGAAAAGAAACAGTAAAGGGAAGTGTGTGGTTATAAGAGACTTTTGTTTTGCCATCTACTTAGACAGCTTTTGTTATTTCATGTAAAATCTGTCAGTTGATTTCCTGAATTGATAAAGGTACATTGTAATCCAGAAATGTTTGGTTTTCCAATATAATTTCACTGTTTTCTTGGACAGTGAATCAAACAGAAATCTCTTTATCTGAATGCATTTGTAGTGTTAAAACATAATACACAAGGCTCATCTGTGTTTTGAAAAGAAAAAAAAAAAGGGAAGCTGAAGGTAGAAGTTGCTCTGTAAATTGTTGCGCATAGACCTTCTTGATATCCTTAATAGGGAATTACCTGTGTTCCTGGATAGTGTTTTTAGTTTGTTTGGGTTTTTTTTCCCTTCTTTGTTGCATTCTTTTTAAAAGTGGCATAAAAGGTCTCTCAAACTTTAATTTAATCTATGCTAGGATTTTACTGCACCTGGAATTGTAGAAGGCAGTTCCAAATGCAAGTTTGGAAGAACATATCCAAGGTATCCTAGGGCAGGGTCCTAGTGGTATCGTTAAAATTGAGGCTGGTGCTGAATTCTTGGAGAAGAAAAGGAAATGCATCAATCAGCCTTGTAAATGAGGACAGATTCAGGCCTGTGTAGAGATGACTTGAGTGATTCCTTGCTCCTGGCATGTAAACTGTCTACCATACTGCTTAAGTTATGTCTATAGCCTATAGCATCAGCAGTGCGGTATGAAAACTATTTGAATTTGCTGCAACTGAGCCATTTCAAGTCTTGGAAGCCAAGCACTTTTTATTGGTTTGGTGCACTGCTGGAGGGAGTTAGCCAAGGTTTATAGCCCCAGACAAAGTACTGTGGGAAAACAACTGCTTCAGAGACCCGGAGTGGTGTATTGATACTAAACGCTGCACAATGCCATGTAGACACTCTAAATTATTTAGCGATAGCTTAGGTTTGACACTGCATTGCATAGTGCCATATGCCCCCCTCAGAATTACAGTGAGGAGTCTTAGGTATTCAGGGTACTGATTCTAAAATGGTTTTGTTGACATTATAAAATACTATAATACTTTACCCATAGAATTGATTAATTTGTTTCTGCAGGTTGATCCGACAGCAGATGCGAGTTTCCTGGGCTGGATTATAGCTTCATACAGCATCGGCCAAATGGTTGCATCTCCCCTCTTTGGCTTGTGGTCCAATTACAGGCCCAGGAGAGAACCTCTCGTTGTTTCAACTGCTATTTCAGTAGCTGCTAATTGTCTTTATGCCTATGTCCATGTACCTCATTCACACAACAAATACTACATGCTGACTGCACGTGCTCTTGTGGGATTTGGAGCAGGTAACCACAGCAGAATTTACATTTCTGAAAATTATTAAATTGTGTCGTGTGTAAGATAGTTAACATGATATTTTAGTATTGTATTTACCGTTATGTGAATGATAACTAATGATAACTTACTACTTAACAAAGCAAAGAGTCATCCAATACTAGTTTATAATAAAATTGTGTAATTGTGCAGTTGTGTATTAATACTAGAGGGAGTTCTGGGTTTTATTTTCTTGCAAAATAAGACAAAAACCAAACCCTAAAATAAATGTAACTAGATAATTTAAGTATATAACTTGGTATTTACACGAACGCTTTCTTGGTTTTGTTTTTTAAGGAAATGTAGCTGTAGTTCGATCGTATATAGCGGGTGCAACTTCCCTTACGGAAAGAACAAGTGCCATGGCCAATACCAGTGCCTGCCAAGCAGTTGGCTTCATATTAGGACCAGGTAAAGCATAGCTTCTTTCCTCACTTCTCTAATACTTTTTAGGATGAAAATGGGCATTGGAAGTAGGAATCCTCAGCAGCTGTATGTTGGGGATTTTAAGGCATGTTTGTCAGTGGTATCAAAATTGAATAAATGGGATCATATATACTTGTGTATGCCAATACAAATGAAATATTCAAATATACAAATGAAATAGTCCAAAGAAATTCTGTTGTTTGTAGTTAAAAACTAGCTGTTTTGGATTGCTGGCTGCAGGAAAAAAAGTACCACTATGCACTAAATAGTCTATGCCCAATTGCACTTCATTGATGGAGAAGGGAATTTAACATTACTGTACTCGAGCAAACATTTCCACCTTTCCAAAATGACTGAAAATTTCACCTTGCCTCACACATTGTAGAAAATAACATCCAACAGATCTTTCTGATCTTGTAGTGATGATCACAGTATCTTCATATTGGCAAAAAATTTAAGACATAGCACAGGTACTACAGAGAGCTAAAGAATTAAAGAGCTCAAGGGGTGTTTGCTAGATCAGGGGTAACTGTGCCTCCTGAGATACTCTGTCTCCATGGGAGAAATATTAGACTTGCCTTGTGTTGTAAAGAGAGACCAGCAGTTCTGTCCTAAACAGCCTCTACTGATATACTTGTCTTCTGTAGCTGGAGATTAAGATTATCTAATTAGTAGAGCTGAAGTGCTCTGTGTATGGTAATATAATGAGGTGAATGTTTAGAGTTGAAAGGTTTTTTTTTTTCTCCAGTTGATTATTACTAGTGCTGTCGATGGAGCATTAAAGGATCTACAGCAACAAAAAATCTGTATTCGAGTGATTTGCATAGAGTATAAGTTTCGTTAATTCCCTTTCCTAATTTGATAGGGACTCTCGGTCTGTTTCTTAATAGTAGTAAGCAAATGACCTGATCTTACAATCTTTTGCTCTGCACCAATTTAAATTTTAATTAAAAAGCCCCTACAACTTCTCTGTAGCTTGCCATTAGCAGGAGGGATAGTCCAGTCCCAAGGTTTTCCATGTAGAAGGAAGAAGAAAAATAGTAAATCAGCTGTCTGCACATGGCCAAGAAAATTAACCATTGGTAACTCAGAATTCAGTTCCAGTTCCTTAAGTGTCAGTTCTTTAAGTGTCATGTTGTTATTTATACAGTGTATTTGTATGTAACCAAGTAGTTTTCTGGCTAGTTGAGGTCCCACTGGTATCCATCAGTTTATTTAGAGTCGGATTCTCAAAATGTAAAATGTTTGACAGGTAGAATATTTAAATTTTACTTAGCAATTAGAACAACATTGCTTATCCAGTTTTATGTGTTTATTATATATGTGTTCTAATATTTTCTTAATGATTGTCAAGATTTTTTTAGTACATTTATATTTTCAAGTTTTTCAGACATGTTTTACACTTATTGGAGAAGAAGGAATAACATGGAAATTAGTTCATCTTCAGCTGAACATGTATACTGCACCAGTTTTATTTGGAGCTCTCTTAGGTGTTATTAATATTATTCTCATCTTTGCCATATTCAGGTAATCAAGTCAAAAAAGAAACGTATTCTACTTTGTTTTAGTGGGTGGCTTGTAACAAATAATACGCTGCTCAGAAGGAGGAGTAATAAGCGTGAAGTCTGGAGTGCTAAAACTATAAGCTGTTATTTATTTTTCAGGGTTTCTACCTTCTTTAATACATATCTTTTTTCATTATGCATATAAAGTAATTATAGTGATGTGACAACTACAATGTAAACTGATGAAAAAAGTTACAGTTGTTAGATTATTAGCTTGGCCTCGATACATTTCTAGTGTTGATGGTTTCTGCCCTTCTCTAAAGGAGAGGTAAGGTTAGCTTGTCTTTAGGGTTCACACTGTGTCTTTCCTTTAAGAATCTTGAGGGCTGATTTTATGCATTAACCGCTTTGTGGCAGTGAGGGAAGAGATGCACACTTCCCAGATTTTCTGCGTATAAGAAAATAAGTAAAACATAAGAACATTACCTCAGACTGAAGTATACTTCCTTTTTTAAATTGATAAAATACTTAGAGGATATAATTTTATTTTGTAAGTTTTTTGAGCTCAATGTGATATTCTCCCACTAGAATATTGTCTTTCTTGAATATGGTGGTGTCCAGTGCAGTCAAATGTAGACTACACAGGTGATGTTCAAAGGAGGTGGGAATAATTAGAATATAAGATTATGCCATTTAGAATTATTTCAATAGAAACTTGACTCAATAGGAGATGAAATAAATACATGTATTAATGAAAACAGTTCTAAATTTCTAGAGAGCATCGTGTGGATGACATGGGACGGCAATGCAAAAGTATCAATTTTGAAGGAGAAGGTACCTGTGTTTTCTTAACAACTTACTCTGTGATTATAATTTTGAAGTACTGTCTTATTACATACAAGCAGTCAGAAGCATTCTAAAGTCTGATGCATTTGGAACTCAAAGTGGAAAATAGGCTACTTCTCTTTCTAACTGGTCCAGAAATTGCTTCAAGTCCATGGTGTGTCCATAGTGCTGTCTGGTAACAAAGAAGGCAAAAAAGCCCAAAACCCACAACTATATGGATCCTTCCAGATTTTCACGTTGGAACTGTCTTTTCCAAGAGACAAGATTAAGTGAATATGTACATTAAAAAACCCTCCCTTAACTTCTAGTCTGCAGTCATACTTCTCTTTTCTTCTGTATCATGCTGAGTAATACTGTTATTGCATATCAGCTTTCACATACAGCATCTTATTAAAAGCTGTATGTTGTATAAGCAAGTTTGGTTGGTGAGACTAAAGTACGGCAATTGCCACATACAGTGCAACAGCTTATGTTCAATGTATACCCTTTTTGTAGGCAATTCAAATTTTTTAAAACATTGTGAGAAACCCTTTCACTTGAAGAATAAAAAGTATATGAAAGGTCATCTTAAAACTCTTAAAATCTGTGGAAGTCACCCATTTCAGTATTGCATTGTTTTTTTGTTTAAAAAGGGAGCTATATGTGCACACCACACACAGGTGGTTTGTGTATGAAAATACTATGCCCAGGTTAGAGGAATAAAGGCTACATGGTAGTGCAGAGCATTCTGCTCTATGTACTTTTGACCTTGTGAGGGGAACAGAAAGTGTTTTGGTTTCCATTGTTAAGGTATTTAAAGAAGTTTGCTTATTTTGCTGTTGCTCAGGACTTGTCAGTTCAAGCATTACAGTGGGAAAAGAGATGGTATAACCAATTTGGAAATAATTTTCCCACATTGAATTGAAGTTTCAACAATTCCATTTTGCTTTAAAAACTTTATACTTGGATTGTCAAAATGTAACTGCCCTACCTGCCCACCAGCCTGCATGTTAAATACTTGACAAGAGTAAGGAAATCATTAGTTTGTGATTTGTGGTGGTGTAAAAAAAGCTCAGTTTGCAGTTGAGAGTCTTTTGTTTTGTTGCAGAAAGTGGTGTTTCGGATCAGGACACAGAAGGAGACGTTGACCATGTTGCTGTGGTAGCAATCAATTTTCTTTTCTTTGTCATCTTGTTTGTGTTTGCTGTCTTTGAAACGTAAGTTTGTCTATTTTCTCTCAAAATACTTAGACATTAATGTAGTTAGACTTGGTGTGCATAGAAAGGCTTTTCCACTGCACTCATTTTCTTAACCATACTCTTCATAAATAGAAGTCCAAAACCATATGCAATCAAATTGATGTATACCAATATAAAGTAATGAATTAAAAGGTCAGTAATCACTAAAAATATGTAGCTTACAGTTTGTGGCATATGAAACATTAATGTGAAAGTTTTTGAATGGATGCAAACCCATATCCTCAACTTTTTAAGTGTTTTAAAAAAAAAAATGTAGCTTAACTTGGGCTACCTAAAGTCTTCAGAGAAAACTATCTTCAGTTGAGTACCTTATTCTATGCTTTCTATTTTAATTTCATGTGATTTCTAAGTATGATTCTGATTAGCGCCAAAAGCTCCAGTGAAGCTCTTAGTAATGATTACTTCAGTAATGATGAAAACAATTGTTTGATATAGTTAATGCAATTGTATTCTTAAATGTTTTCTTTTACATGGTCATTTTTTTTACCTAAAGAAGTATGTTATTCCCAGATCATCTGTGTATAAGAAAATAAGTAAAACATAGCAACATTACCTCAGATCGAAATATACTTCCTTTTTTAAATTTACAAAATACTTTGAGAGTATAAGACTTATTTTGTAAGTTTTTTGAGCTCTAACATAGCTAAAATTTCTTTTAACAATACATCTCTCAATTGCATTATTTTTGGAACTCAGTTTTCTAAGAGACTGGTTGGTTGCTAAAACTGAAACAGTATTAAATGTTTATTATTTTTATACTCACAGGGCCTGATTTTTCTTTTCTTTGTATTACCATTGCTTTGCTTTAACTCCATCATCTTTTCATGAAATAGATAATGATGCTTCAGAGTATGGGTGGTGTAACGCAGTTGTGAGTTTCTCTAGTGGATTTATTTTTAATAAATGATGCATGACAATTAGTTTATAACTAGCCTGTGTTTTCTGATATGTCTGTCAGGAGGAAAGGCTTCTGTGCCACTGTGTGTGATCTTTGGGCTAATATATGTATGGAAAGGGCTGTGTTGAAAAAGCTTTACTTTAATTAATGTCATTTTGTTCTGTCAATTTAGTATAGCTACTCCATTGACGATGGATATGTATTCCTGGACCAGGAAAGAAGCCGTTTTTTATAATGGAATAATCCTTAGTGTGGTTGGCATTGAATCGGTTATTGTTTTCATGGTGGTTAAAACGCTATCTAAAAAGTAAGTTTTTGGAGTTTATTGGGATTTTGTTACGTATGTTTGCTAAATGTGAGAAACTTTATGGCAAGGCCAAATCCACTTAAGTCTTTTACTTGTTAATGAATTTGGGTTTACTAGGACAATGAAGTACTTCCGATTTTGATACAGTCACGATGCTGTGTCAAAGGTTTTAAATTACTGTGATTTTGCAGGTTTTGTTGCAGGTGTCTTGGTCAGGCATCTTTTCAAAAAACTAATGGGCTATGTCATTAGTACCTCATCCTGGTTTCATCCAGGATAGAGCTGGTTTTCTTCACAGAAGCTAGTGTGAGGATATGTTTTGGATTTGGGATGAGAAATTGTTGATAATGTGCTGATGTTTTGAGCTGTTGCTAAGTAGTCAAGGACTGTCCAGCTTCTAGTGCTGGGCTGATAGCAAGAAGGCTGGGCATGCACGGGAAGCTGGGAGAGGACACGGCCAGGGCAGCTGACCCAGGCTGGCCAAAGAGATATTCCCTACCATACAACGTCATGCCCAGTACATAAACTGGAGTTGGCCGGGGGGTGGAAATCACTGCTCGGGGATGGGCCATCGATCGCCAGACGGTGAGCAATTTTATATTGGGCATCACTTGTTCTTGTACATTCCTTTGTTGGTATTATTATCGTTGTTATCATTGTTGTTTCCTTCTCTCTTGCTGTCCTATTAAACTGTTTATATCTCAACCCACGAGGTTTTTCCCAATTCTCTCCCCTGTCCCACTGGGAGAGGGGGAGTGAGTGAGCGGCTGCGTGGTGCTTAGTTGCCGGCTGGGGCTAAACCACGACACACCTTCATAAATTTTACTTTAATTAAATGATATATTTAATTGTAATTTCATTGTTTGGTAGGACTGGTGAGCGTGCCATACTCCATGGAGGCTTACTGATTGTCTTGGTTGGATTCTTTATCTTACTGCCTTGGGGGAAAAAACTACCAAATATCCAGTGGCAAGGTATAATTCAAGTCATACTGAACTACATTGCAACGTTTTACTGAAAGCTTTTTATTGTATTTTTTCTTAACAGTATGCATAACTTGTTTTTACAGAAATAAAGAATAACTCCATTCCCAGAACAATTTCCACTGAAATGTTAATGCCGTTCTGGAGTTTGCAAGCAATGCACCTTCCATCCAACCACACAGTAGAACCCGTAGGCTGCCCTGTCACACAGTCCTGGTGCCTGAATACTCCTATGATCTATCTGGCCCAGTATATCAGCTCTGACATACTAATAGGATTGGGCTATCCAGTTTGTAACGTCATGTCCTACACTTTATACTCAAAAATTCTAGGACCAAAGCCTCAGGTAAGCATGATGCCTAAATGGTTTATTCCATTTGCTTTCCAGGACTTGCACCCTCTTTATTAGAATGAGGGATCCAGCTAAAATTCCTTTTCTCATTAGCCAAATAATAGTGTGTTTCAACCAGGGCAGAAGTTTCCAGGAACTCTATTCTTTTTTAAAATCCAAGGCAAGTCCCTAGAGGAATCAGTAAGCAAGGCTTATAGTACAGTTTATGGCAAATCATGCAGCGTGAAAATTTCAGAACAGCTAATCCCAAAGGTTGTGACTTTCACGACTGTTCTGGAAGAGTAATTTTTGTAACAACCAATTATATATCTGGAATATCAGTACGGAATAATGTTCCTTTTACTAAGTATGTTATATAAAGACTACAAATGCTATGATACTTCTAGTTATTGACATTTTACGGTGGTGAAACACATAGCAAGCTGATCTTACTGCTTAACAAAAGGTTTTCTTCCTTTTTCACCACTTATCTCATTTTTCCCATGTTATATTTTGCCGTAAGAGACTAAATGCTTTGAGCCAGAATGCTTTTTTATTAGAAAGCTATAGAATATTAGCTCAGTGGAGCCTTTGAATTAATGCTTAGAGAAGCTGAGCAGTACTTCTAGAAACAAAGTACTCGGTATCTTAATGAGTTAAGAAAGGTAAGCAATTGCTTAAACACTTCTGAATTTTCTAATTAGGATAATTGGTGGGAATTATTGTCAAGCCAAATAATTCCTGTATGGCTAATGTAAGGTTTTGATTTTCTGTTAGGGTATCTACATGGGATGGTTAACTGCCTCTGGAAGTGGAGCACGAATACTTGGGCCTGTTTTTGTGAGCCAAATATACACTCACCTGGGACCACGCTGGGCATTTAGCTTAATCTGTGGAGTAGTTGTAGTCTCCCTCTTACTGTTGGAGATAGTATACAAGAGACTTATTGCGTTTTCTGTCAGATATGGAAGGATGCAAGAAGAGAATTGTTAAATATGTATTTTAAAGAAAAAAAAGTAAAACCAACCAGAAATAATACTTGGTTTTATTATTACTTTTTAATGAGGAGTACCTAACCACTGACCTTGTTGGCTGTGTGCTAAGAACTGTACACCTGTACTTACACCTTGACAGAACACATAGCTTGGTCATATCCTAATATATGACTACACCTGCTGCCACAGAACTTTTGTATCCTGCTTTTCTGGCAGCAGAGGAAGGGATGTGAGCAAGTTAGGTCAATACAATGGCACATTTGAAATGTGTACAGTTTAAATGATGCCCCTGTGAAGGTCACAAGTTCTGTGCATCTTTCCAGGAAGAAGTAGAAGAAGTATCATCTTGATTCCGTGAATCAGGATTAGTAACTTTTGTAACTACAAGATTAGTTGAGCTGTACGCACTTTGTATGAAAACATCACTACTTGAGTCAACCTTCTGATGTTTGGTTTGATAGCTTGTAAGCGCTGGTTAATACAAAATGTCTCACTTACTTTGGAAACTCTTACATATCAATACGTCTTCTCCAGGATTTCCAGCGAAATGTGACAGAATTCTAGAGGAAGGTAGGTGCCGACTTCACAAGCAGTTTGTGTGGGGTTTGGGTGTTTAAGTTAAGTTGGTGAAGAGCCATCGAAAATCACTGCCTCAGTAGCTGTTACTTGAACTACAGTGAACCGTATGTGCAATTTTTCTTCTATTGTTTTGCTGAATGACCCTTTTTGTAGCAAGAAGGATAGCCTGCACAGAGTTGAATTATGCACAGCTTTACTTTACAAGAGGAAAATACTAAGCGTGATAGTTTACACTTTCATTGTCATTTGTGAGAATGAATACACTGTGCTGAGCAACCAGTGTTAATTTAGTGAAAAGGAACAAAGTGGCTCCTTGGATGTTGACTATTATTTGTAGACGTATTTTTTCTGATAATATGGTGTGAGAAACAGGAATTCCTGATGTTTGAATCATTCAGTGTTTATTTTAGAAAGTGAAGTAATAGTTTTCCTTCATAATGGGGCCTAAACTCATCTGTTGTATGGGTTTGTCTTATCTGTTTCAATACTATGGGGGGAAAAAAAATGGAATTATTCCAGTATGAGTTGCAGCTGCTGCTTAATGTGTCTTAGTATGTCTTTAATAGTTGATGCTTACTGAATCTATTAAATGTAATTAAGTTGTTCAAACACTAAAAAACTACTGAATTAAATTATTTTTTCAAAACTGACTAAATGGAATACAGAAGTTTTATTCTCTCTCAGGCTTTCCTACTGCAGAATCACAAAATATTTTGAGAAAGGACTTTGCTTTTATAAGCATTTCTTTTATATGCTAACTCATCATAAATAGTACCAGAAATACTTTGTTTTGGTGGTGAAAACAGACTCCAAGTGAAGCTCTTGGCGTTACAATAATGAAAAGTTACTGAAGTCATGAGAAATTGGTGTTACTTGAGATATGAGAAATGCAAGAGTTTTCAAAACTGCTAGCGTGGTTAGGATTTAGTGTTCTGCACCTTAGTTTTTGCTGAAAATGTATGTTTTAGAGGTTTTACTACTGTTGTTCTTCAGGATAGTTAACTTCCAACATGTAAATATTTGGGTACTTGAAGGGATTCTTCTAAAGGGTTAAGGAGATAAAACTAGACTCATGTCTCTTCTGCAGCAAACACCTGTAGAATACAGGATGTCCAGGATGTCCCTAAAAAGGGGTAGCCCATGCACATTAATATGTTTACATAACAATTAAAATAAGAAAGCAAGGTTTAAAATTCTGTGGCCAAGAGACTTGTTTTTATTTTCCTAGGTCAGCTGTGTTTTAAGCTGTGGCTTGCTTGTTAATGGATTATCATCCTCTCATTCTTAAAAACACATTCATGTACTCACAGGTAGGGCTTATTTTTTTCTTTTTATGCTGGTTAGCAATGAAATGTAACTGCACTTAAGTCACACTGCTTAGAAAGAACAATCAGGTGGCTTCTAAGGAACAGTTATGCCTTTCTGCCCTCTGGTGTCTGCCCCTTAGGCTTTCTTCAACTATTTGTGTGTTGAGCTGGCACATCAAGCTAGATTATGTCTGAAATAAAGATAATCATTGTGGCTGATAATGAGAGTTTTTAACATGCAGTGCTGACCCATATCTTATCAAGGTTTACTTGCTTCTTAAATCAAATTGACTTTTAAAAGTACTAAACCAGAATGTTTTTTTCTAAGAAAGCTGTGTTTGTACACATGCTTGTATCTACAGGTATGTTCAAAAAAACCCTAGAGTCTACAAAGACTTATAATAGTTAAGTCATTTTACCATGCAGTCATTCTGTCTGAGTATTAAGGTCAAACATGAGAAGGTATGCTTCTTAACTAAAAGAAGCGTTAACAAAATTCTGTTTGGAGAATCATTTCAGGCTTTTTCAGTGCTACTTATATCTTTTCTCATGGTTCCGGTGCCACATTCTTGATTCAAGCTCTTTCCTTGATTTGGACATGACAAAATAAAAATTGTCTCTAATAGAGACTAGATGAGTAAGAATTGACTTAATCAAGGCTAGGATGCAGCTCTGTGCTGTGCTTACAGCTTTGAAAGAGCTGTATTGGAGTATCATCTCTTTCCTGAGGCTTTTACAGCTCAGTTTGTCATGCCTAGACTACATGCACAAGCCACTTTCAGCTCTGCTGAAACTCTCCCTCTTCCCACTCACTGACACCATTTTGGATCCTCTCTTACCACGGCTTACATTTTTCCTACCTTTTACTACAGTAAGGGTAGTTTGCTTTCTTATCACCTGTGCTCCTGGGTTTAGTCAGTTTAGGCCAGAGGTTAAATATTGAATATACAAAGCACAGTACAGTTTCTCAGTTCAGCAAGTTAGGAGTAACTTCGTGTTTCACACAGCCCTTGAACTCCCACCATGTGATGCTCTAAGATACCAGTTCAGCTCCTATTATAAATCAAGCATAATTCTTAGAGGAAAGGGCTCTCAATAAACCATCACTTGAACATGCAACAAGTAAGCAGATTTGGACAGTTACCACTGCATTTATTTTTTTTAATAAAATGCTTGTGCAGGCAAGTGAAAGCTACTGCTACAAAAAATTAAAACAAACAGTTATAAAACATATACATATTTACATATATTACTTCTAAGACATAAAAATGTAAGTTATTTACAAATACAAACACTTCAGCAGCACAGATGCATTTTCCTTGATTGTTGGCACTGAGTAAGCAGTGGGGGAAGAAAAAAAAATACAAGATTCAGATTATTCCCAAAAAGTTGATGCTATCTAGAACAAAGTTGCTCAAAGTTTTGCTTGAGCAAGTTTATCCATCATTGAGGAAAAACATGTTTTGTAAGATACTTTACAAGCAAGCTGCTACACGTAAACAGAGCAACCCTTTCGTTTTTTTTTTTTAACCAGCTTTTGGAAGAATTTCTGCATAAGCTGAGTAGGATCAGTCACATCACTTGAAAGTCAGTGAGTGAGTATATTAAGCTCTTGTGTCCCAACACCTGCTTCGCCTTAATCAGTGGGGACCAGCTGGATTGGTAAACATCACAAGAATAGAAGACAGACAGTGCAGCTTCTCTTTGATATATTCTGGCAACTTATCGTTTTCTCCATACCTAGAAAGGCAAATAAACACACAAAATTTAGATGCTTGAAATAATTACTTTTATTTCAGGACAGTATAAATTATTTCAAAACTTGCCTCAAAAATAGGCAAACCACTAAATCAAGTGGATGTGAAGTACATCTAAGGACATTCATTGGAGCTTGATCACTTAAATCCAGGCCCCTCTTCCCTTTACATATTTAACTGAAATAAGTGTTTCCAATTAAGAAAATACCATGTAAAGGTTTAAAGTGGCAATAGTGTCTGAATAGACTGTGTATTACTGTGTCAAACTTTGCACAAAGGAAGCAAGTTACTGAGTGGCTATATTTGTATGGGAAAGGGCCAGTGTCTGAAAGACATGCAAGACTTCCTGAGCACTTCAGGCATATGCGTCAATGTTGGCATACCATCTCCCTAATCTAGCAGTATCTTGGAAAAAAAGTATTAAAACCTTACTTTTCTCCCCTTCTCTTTTAAATACTCTACATGAATAGTGGCTATACTGTGGACGCCAAGTACTAGATGCATTCCCAGCTTTTTTATTCATTTGTTATCCAGAGTTCAGTCAAAGCTATATAGGTGGGTTTTTTTACTAAGCTTATAGAAGCTGATCAACTTAGAAGTGCTTAAAAAGCTAAGTTTTAATATTTACAACACAAAATGAAGAGCAGCTATGAAATTTACCTTATGTATAACAGCCTTGCACTGACAATAAAAACAGAACTATTTTAACAGCAGTAATAGACTCACCTAGTTGTCTGGCCATCTGGAGATGTGTAAGTGATAGAAGAAACACCTGCTTGGGCTACCAGTTGGGATCCATCATTAAACTGAACCCATACTGCTCCACTCATCAGCTAACAAGAGAAGTTGACATAAAATACATAGAGACATAAGATGACATACCTAGAACTTTTCTAATAATTGAAGCTGAAAGTTTTTCATAATTGCTGAAGTAACTTGGGTATCTTGGTCAGTCTTTCAGAGATAAAGACTGCATGTGTAATACTTTGGAGTAGGTAGTCTCATACAGTCTCAAGAATCAGCCTTCCTAAGGTTTCAGATACTCTGCTTTAGCCCTCCTTTTCAATCAGAGTTAAATAAAGAAGTACCTTTAGCTTAACCACTCCTAGAGAAATTTTAAATAGGACCAAACATAGAATAGAAGGCTCATTTGTGAGAGTTCACAGCTATACACATTTTAAAGTTTTTATACATAAAGCAAACTTTTCCTGTTAGGAGGAAAATCTTACTTTATCTGCATTGCAGAGAACCATTTTTTAAATCTAAGGCTGGTCCCACAGAAAAGCAGAGGAAAAGTTTCTCTGTAAGGAAACAGCTTTTCCTGTTGCATAGGTAGGTTCATTCTTCTTGCACAGGTCTGGTACATATCTGCTAAAAACACTTTGACATGACACCTTTACATCTACATTAGTGAACAGACACAAGTTTAACAGCTTCAGTTTTTCACTAGAGTCAAATTT